TGTAATATAGCATTTCCAATCCATGAATATAGTATGTCTCACCACCTGTCTCAGGCTTTTAAAATGGCCTCAAGAAATGCTTTCTAATTTTTCTCCAGAGATTTTTTTGCATATGTTGGATTATGACATAGTACCCATAAATTTCTATTCTACCATAAATGGAATTTTTTTTTTCTTTTTCCTTTTTATCGGTACCGGTAATCGAACCCACGACTGCCTGCTTGCAAGGCAGGCGCTTATGCTGTTGAGCTAAATCCCCAGCCCCCTATAAATGGAATTTTTAAATGTACGTTTTTGCAATTTTTCTTCCTGCTAAACAATAATGCTGTTAATCAGGGCTGGGGATTTAGCTCAGCGGCAAAAACGCCTGCCTTGCAAGCAGGCAGTCGTGAGTTTGATCCCCAGTACCGATAAAAAGGAAAAAGACAAAAATAAATAAATAAATAAAAATAAGGCTGTTAATCTCTGTATGTAGATATACACCCAGCGATCTTGCCAAATTCTTATATTGATGTTGAGAGTTACCTGGAATATCTGAAATTTTCATTAGTCAATCTTATCTGTAACTGATAATTTTATTTCCTCCTCTTTATCTCTCTATTGCCTGTGAGTCAGTGTTGCTGGGAAACCAAATTCAGGCCTTTCTGGGTGTTAGGTGAGCATCAGACCCTGAGCTGCAACCCCTGCTCATTCTTGGCTTGTGCTTGGCTAGGACATCAAGCAATGTTAGAAGTGGTGATCACAGGCTCCTTACTGTGTTGCTATCTTTACTGTGGACAAGTACATAGGAAGATTTATTACAAGTTAATGTAATGAATTTCAGGGATAAATCTGACTGGGTCATGATTCTTTATTATCATTGTTCTGAAGTAGTTGATTTGCTAATATTTTATATGGAATGTCCCTGTCTATGTTGTAGCTGAGATTGAGTTATAAATTTCCTTTTTAATTTTAATTTTAATTTTATTTATTTATTTATTTTTTTGTACCGGGGATCGAACTCACGACCTCACGCTTGCCAGGCAGGTGCTTATGCCGCTGAGCTAAATCCCCGTCGTTATAAATTTCCTTTTTATATAGCACCGTGCAGTTTGGTTACTAACATTCATACGGTGAGCACTGTTAGTTGTCTTTCTAGAAGTCAGCCTTTTTCCTGCCCTTTCTCTTCCCTCTATTTTCCTCACTGACAGTTGTCTTATCTCAACTGTTAAATGGACACATTGCGGCCTTGGCATCAGTCAACTGGGAAATAATGTTGCAAGAATGCAGGATGTTCTTCCTTTTATTATAGACAGCTGGGTTTGACAGAAGTTAACAGGTAGTAAAGAATGAGCTGGCTCTTGGAGGAGTCAGTGCAAAAAATAAGGACATTAAACTTGTGGCTGGAGGCGGATCTGAAGCCCACTGGGCCTCAGGCTGGGCCTCAGGATGGACACACAATAGCCAGGACTGCGCCCCTCCCTAGAGATGAGCAGCAGCTTGAGATGATATTGTAATGAGCACGCTTGGTCCAGTGGACTCAGCAAGGCATCGTACCCAAGGTGGGTGACCAGAACATCTGGGTCCATGCCCATCCCTTTCCAGGAATGTCTGCGTTCTTCCCAGTTACTCTGGCTACACAACTTCCTTCCCTGTTGGATCAGTATTAGCTAAGCCACTTTACTGGTAATCTCACAGGCTGATTGTAGTTTGACCCCTGCTGTGACTTTGTGGTATGAAGTATTTTGACCAAGAGCCTCAGTGGTTACCCACTCAGACCTCTCCTGAAGTCCAGGAGCTAGTCTCCTTATTTCCAGTAAAGCTCTCCTAACGTCCTCCGTTGGTTCATGACTTCATTCCGCCATGTTGTAAGCCCCCAAGCTCAGCACATCTGCCATCTAACAGGCTGGGAGTTATTTTCCTCGTAACACTTTCTTATAAGCAGAACATGCCCTTTTGCCTAGGAAAGACAGCTCTTAAACAGCTTTCACGTTTTATCAGGGAGGGAAATCGTAGTGTCATTGGCCAGAAGTAGGTTACAGTAGGGGAAGTGAGTATCTGACAGATATTTTGGTATCTGTTGCCATCAAAATTTATGCCTTACATGCTTTCTCCTTTGTGGTGCTGATGGTTGAACCCAAGGCCTTGTGTACATGAAGTAAACAGGTTGCCTGTGAGCGACAGCCCCAGCTGGCCTTTCCTTTTATTCCCGTGTCTTCTATGGATTGATCATGTTTTCTTTTAAAAGTGATATATTGTTTTAATATTCCTTCATAAGTTACCTTTAGTTTTGTCAAACTAAAAGTGATGTGAACCAATAATCCCAGCGCTCCGGGAGGCTACAGCAGGACTGCACGTTCAAGGCCAGCCTGGGCATCTTAGTGAGACCCTACCTCTAAATGAAGATTAAAAAATGGATGGCAGTGTGGCTCAGGGCCGAGGCTCAGGGTTGAGCCTCAGTGTCTGTGTGCTGAGGCCAAGGATCATCTTTACATTTTAAACACATGCACTTGATTTAGGAAGTCTAAAATAACCTATCTCTCCAATTTTAGTGGAGTTTTTTTTACTATAATTACCACCCTTCTATCTTCTGAGTTATTGTTTATATTCTATAACATCCCCTCAAGCAGTCATTATTAGTGTTTTTAAAACATTCTACTGTTCATTCAGACTTAACCAGGTGCTTAACAATTTATTTGTGTAAATTAAGATGCTCCTTATCTTTTTCCTGGGCTGTTTCATCTTAAATCCTTTAGTAGTAACTTCTCCGGCCCTGAATGATCCAAAGGCATTTATTTCTATGCTCGATTTTCAGTTTTCATTCCCTATTCGTGTGGGCCTGAGGCCACACTGTCTACGGGTCATGAGCTTGACACCCTGAACCTCAAATGCCAGAGCCTACACTTGATTCTGAGGTTCCCTGGCTTCATTCTTCTGCTCCCCACTCCGAGTTGAGTCCTCCTCTATCCCTAGTACCTGAGGATTTCCTCGTCTTTGTTTTTAGCTCAGCTTTATATTGTTTTATTTCATCCTGTGTTTGTCAGAGGAAGTGGGGGGGGTCGACATTAATCTTTTTAGTTACTATTACTGGAAGCCCACACATTCTATTTATAATAGACTTCCCTCTTACTCATGTTTATGACTCTCCTTTAAAATAAATATCATACATTCTGATAGAGACACGACAAAGATGGCTGGATAGTTGGTATTTTGTTTCAGCAAAAGTTATAAAGTTTCTAAAATTTTTCTTGATTTTGGTGTACAAGGAACATTTCCCAGGTCACCAGTTAAGAGACTGTGATCAGCTGCCAAGAAATGGAATTTTCCATAGTTTCTGTTTTCTTGCATCTGCCTCACTTCTGGTTCAACAAAGGTGATCCCTGAGGGGAAACCTGCTCAGTCCTGACTTCACACCCTCTGCACTAAGAATACCAAAGCAGTGTGGTGAGAAGTCCAGGCGCCTGCAGGAAGCCACCCTCAGGCCAGAGCCAGAGCTCAAGGACTCCTGCAGATCCTTAGCTGGCTGGAGGCTGAACCGATTCCAAATCCTGAGAATTTATAACTTCTAATAGATGAAAGTGAGCAAGCTCATTTGCATTTCATCATGACTCAGGAATTCCCCCACATCCCTGGACAGATGAAACCACATTAGCTTTATCAGTCCGAGGCTTTCACTGTCAGGATACTGGCCTGGAAAATGGCCATCCAGCCTGATGGATGGGACCCAAAGTCTCCTGTCAGGATAGAATGGTCTATTTCAGCCTGCTGGAGAGAGAACCAGCATGAATAGTGGTATCCAAACACGGTTCCTCTCAGAAACATCTGGCAGTACCGAACATTCACTGGGGTCGGTGAATAAACAGGGGGGCACTGGGCAGCTGGTATGTTGGAAATGTTTCTGAAGAATCACAAATGGTCCAATTAAGGACCCAACAAGTGGTAGTTAAGGCATTCATTCATAGAAAGACTAATACAAGTCTGATTTGCTGAAAGACAGTTATTAGTGGCAATACAATATATTCCGTATGTTGTCTCACTAAAACTGTTCTGATGTAAAAAATAAATGAATGGAAGAAGATGGACTAGACTGGGGTACAGGGCAAGGAGATCAGACAAACCCCAACAATCACCTGTGCCATTAGTGATAAGAAAATAGCAAGATGGGGCTGGGGATTTAGCTCAGTGGCATAAGTACCTGCCTTGCAAGCAGGAGGTCGTGAGTTCGGATCCTCAGTACTGATTAAAAAAAAAAAGAAAACAGCAAGAGATTAAAGAGACCATTTTGCAAAGTCAAAACGGGAGTCTTGGCTAGTTCTGACTTCACCCTTGAGGCTTTCTCCCCAAAATGGAGAGTAACAAGTTCTACCATAGGAAGGATGGGTCTACTTGAGGGACGGAAGCCACCTTATAAGTCACAGGGGGCTGTTCATTTTGTCATTTCCTTTTGAAGGAACCTGATTGGTCACTAAATGGTCACTGGAAATTCTAGTCAATTAAGGCCCAAAGGCACGCTGCCATCCTCAGCGCTTTCCTCCCATTCACAGGCAGAACCATCTCTCTCACAGCTAACACCGAGCAAAGGGAAAGACAAAGTTCTTCATTCTTAAGATCAGGATTTCATCTCGTGCTATGAAAATGCTTCCTCATGAAGCCTGGCCTGCTGGCACATGCCTGCAATCCTAGTACTGGGAGGCCGAGGCAGGAGGATTGCCAAGAGTTTGAAGCCAACCTAGACTATGCAGTGAATTTAAAACCAGTTTGAACTGCATAATGAGACCTTGCCTTAAAACAAAACAAAACCTGCTTTCAGATGAAAATGCTACTGAGATCTATTTCTCAGAATGCTAGGTGGTGGGCAGTGGATTTTGTTCTTGAAAGCGATGAGATTGGTGGACACAGAGGATGGACCTATGATTGTCCAAGTCACCTTCTTTCTCAGACACCCACCACCTCGGGCTTTACCTCAAGGGTGCCATGGCGGGGGAGGGAGCTCCTGGCCACTCTGGGCTGTGGTGACCTACCTGTTGAGATACACCCTCTTCTCAGTGAACTGCCCGTTGCCGTGGTGAGGGTCCTCAAAGGGCTCGTTCTGGACGACCTCCACCCCTTCTCCCCGGTCACTCTGCTCGTGGCTGTGCTTGCTGATCATGTACAGCTGTCCGATTTTGTACTGCAGAGCACAGAGGAAGAGACAGAGTGGTCAGCACTTAGCCTGTCCGACAAAGCCCCTCCAAACTAATCACAATTTGCTGAGAAAAGAGGCAGCCACGTGGGCCTCGTGTGACTCTCTGTGGAAGCTGGAAAGAGGGCTGCCTGTGAGCAGCAGGCAGAAATGGCACCATGCTGGGATCCTTCTGCATCCTCTCTGCAGCAACGGACCAGCCCAGGGGGTGAGGCATAGGAGGGGGTGCAGAGTCTCTTTTCATTCTGGCTCCACAATGCTTGTGGGGCTAACATCCTACTTGGCTTGGTCAGAGCAGCCTCAGGGGTGTCATTTCTGTCCCTGCTTTCACCTAATTAGCAGCATTGCTGGGCACAGGCTCTTAAGCATCACCTGTCTCTTGCATCGCCCTTTCCAAAGGGTCCAGCGCTCCTGGAGACCCCTTGTCCCAGAAGAGCAGTTCTCACAGGAGGCTGGACATCAGATCATCCGGGAGCTTTGAAAAGCTCCACACACTGGGTTTTACCCTGAGTGGAGCCAAGGCTGAGAACCAGAAGCCACATCACATTGAGGACAATCTTCGGCATCTTCAGCTACTTTTTATCCAATTGCACGCTCAGCATGCAGCCTCCCAGGCAACTCCCAGAGCACATCTTACCCTAAAATCACAAAATGGAGTAACAAACGCTAGGAACATTTTCTGTCCTGTCTTTACCATTGTGCTGTTCTGCTCCCCTTCGTGCCTGTCTGAAAATCCTGGGGCCAGCAGCCACTTATTTCCCTAGGGGACTTTCAAGTGACAAAACTAATTTGATAGAGGGGGAGAAGACAGGCGGGAATAAAATAGCTTGCAAGAGGAACGTGTCTGCTCAGGGTCAGGAGGCAGGATGACGAGACCCTGCTGTGTCCTTCTTGCAGATTTGCTGTGACCCAACAGAGACATCATGTCGTTACCACTGGGGCCTGAGGGGTCCTGAGTTGTGTCCCAAGAGGCCCTGGCCAGCAGGGATGCAGGTACCCTGTCTACTGCAAAAGAGGGAGAGATAGACTTTAAATTAAAGAGGCGTGTGAAATGTAAAAGCCGCAGGGCTGTCAGAACCAGAGCTGGAGAACCCGAGTCCAAAGGTCCCTCTTTCATGCCGAGGCAGGTTCAGGGAGGGAGTGTGAAGAAGCTCCCACAGTCTCTGGTCCGCACCCAGCCCCTGGCACCAGACCCAGTAACTATGACAACAGGAGTCAGCTAGGTGGGCTGGGTCTTCTCAAAGGGCTGCAGGTCCTGTGTGGGCTACGCCCTTCTGTGGAGGGGCTGCTTCTGCATTTTAAAACGCTTTGAATGTGAGTGTATTTGTGCCTTGACATGCAGGGGAGTTGGAGCACTGCGGATAAGAGCCAGAAGAGGATAAAATCCTTTTTAAAATGTACTGCCAGGTCAAAAACTTGACCTGCCTCCACCTTGGTCTAGTTCTGCTTTTTCTTCTGTTCATAAAGCCTGACAGTCTTTCGAAGATGACAGAAAGAGCAAGTTCACAGACTGGAGCCTTGTGAGCTGTGAGATCCAAGAGATCATTGCTCCGCCTGACACCGGGCCCGTAACCCTGGCACCAGGAACTCAGCTGCTCAGCCACCCACTGAGACTTCACTGGCAGGTGTTTGGTACATGGTGTCCCCAAGATAAATGTTTACATGCGATGAAATATTATTCAGTCATGAAAAGTACTACCAATGAAGTACTACCAATATTCTAAAACTGTTCCTTAGGTGTTATGGGATTAAGTGTGTCCCTCAAAGTTCATACAGTGAAGTCTAATCCTTTACCCCACAGAATATGACTTTATTTGCAATTAGCACCTTTACAGAGGTCATCAGGTTACAGTGAGGTCATTAGATGGGCCCTAGTCCAGTGTAGAATATTTGCCTACCTACCACCAAGGCATAAGTAAGATCCTGGATTCGATCCTTAGCACCACGAAAATGAAAGAGGAAGGTAATTTATTTATTTACTTTGTCTTTTTGAGCCAGTCTCACTATGTAGCTCAGGCTGGCCTTGAACTCACTTTGTAGTCCAGGCTGACCTCAAACTCACAGCAATCATCCTGCCTCAGCTTCCCAAGTGCTGGGATTACAATGCCACCACAGCTGATGAGAAAGGTTAATTTTATGTTATGTGAATTTCAGTTTTTAAAGAAAGTATTGGCTGTCGTGTCAGAAGGAGACACTCTTAACCCAAAATCCCATCAAGGTCTTTGGTGGGAATTGACGGAAAAATTCTTTGCCAGCCAACAGGCTCTGGGAGCTTCACAGATGAAAAATATATGGGACAAGGTTGATGCACAAACACAAAAGCCATTAGCCAGATGCAAGTCGGCCCCGGCTGGGCTCAGCTCGAGTGCTTCCTGCTTGGTGGAGATGGGGACAGCGAGGCAGCTGATTCACCGGAGGCCACGGGAGGGCCCGGCCACCTCATTGATCATTCCAGTGGCTCTGCATGAGTTAGCACAGGGCAGGCGCCAGCGGGAGCTCACTAAGCCGCTGGTGCGGACTGGGGGTGGCTGCAGATGCTTGCTGGTGGCTGCTGAGGGCTGGCGGAACACTAAGCCCAGACACCGAGATGGTCAAGGGTTCTGTGATTGTCCCTTTCTTTCCAGAAAAATCGGGCCTGCTCTGCTGGCTGTGGTCACCAGGGCCGGGCCATCCCAAAGCAGCTTACTGTGTTGTTCAATCCCAAATTGTCACACAGACACAAACAGCAGTGTCTGGGCCGGGGCAAAGGGAAGGAGCAGAGAGTCCTTGAGCCACCTTTTCTAAACTGCCAGAGAACCTCTTAAAAATGCCAAATCTGGGTGCCAAATCAGGCGGTGGGGAGAGATCTTACTCAAGCCCGTGAGGTGCTGAGCCCTCTCACAGGGTGCGGGCTCACCAGTGCCAGACCGGGTGTTCACCTTTAGGAGGCCTGTTTCTTTGTTCCTCTTGTATATTATACCTTGCAAATTTCTGTACCAGCTTCAGTGAAAATATCACTAACTCCAAATATCCCCAATTTCTAACTCCACATGAACTTGTATGTCAAAAAAAGGCTACAAAAATCCAAAGACTCAGAGGATTCTGAAGACCTCAAAGCCTGAAATTTGAAAATAGAATTGATGAGGAGGAGGATGATAACATGGCACACTTTTATTGACTGCCCATGAATTCAAGGCTTCAATTGCATGCTTGACGTTCATTCCTAATGCGATGATGATCCACTCAGGCGGCACTGACTACCGAAGAAGTCGCGTCCTCAGGGAGGTCAAAGTCTTGCCTTGGCTTCTAGATGGCAGAGTGAGCTCTGAATGCCATAGGTGTGTGCTCTGTCTACTTCGCCCAGCTTCAGCCCTTGAATCATTAACAGGTGTATTGCTTTAACAGCTCTGGGGCCTCGCCGTGATTAAAAAGGTGTGGGGGGTGTGGTGGAGGGGGTGGCTGAAAGCCAGGCCTCTGAATTTTGCTGTTTCAAAAGTTGAGTAACAGAAGTCTGACTGAAAGATCAAAGTTGCTTAATCGATGCTCACATATGGAATGGGGGAGCAATTATGCTCTAACTTTGCAAAATCTATTGTTATAATTCCAGAGTTTGGGTAATCATCATTACAGGCAATCATGATTAGAGAGCTCTGCGCTGCAGGCTAAGCCTCCGTGTGAGATATTAGCAGAACAGCTACCCCAAATAATTATCTCTGTTCTCGAAAAACATCCTGGGGATCCAGAGCTTTCCTACTCAGGCGCAGCGCTGAGCATCTGATATCGCTGGAAACCTAAGGTAATGCAGAGTCCCAGAAAGTGCTTGGAAAAGCCAAGCAGCTTCATCGGTTCATACTTCTGCAGATTGTAGGAGGGAGCCCCACCAAGTTACGTAACACAGTGCACCCTCAAGCCAAAAATATGGAGTACGGTAAGGGATTGCTCACTGGGCGCCAACAATACCCTGCCCTCTGCATGAAGCAGCACTGGACCTGAAGTTCCAGGCTTAGCAGAATTCCAAGCTACAAATGATTTCTACTGTATCCTCCCTGCCTAGCTGAGTTCCTACAAGGCCCAGGTCCTCCGCCCCAAAGATGGCGTCATCTGGCTTCCAACCAATCCCTGTGCCTCTGCCCTGTCCCTTTTCTCTTCCTCCATTAGTCCTGGTCCTGTTTACAAACATCATGATGTGACAAGAATCAACTCCCAGTGGACTTACTCCCTGAGGAGACACTTGGGCATCGAAAGCTCCGGGTCAGCACTCAGAATTCATTTCTACTTTGTCCTTTATCATCCAAATGAATGGCTGCACAGAACTAAGGAGCAGAGAAACACTGGCCCCTCTGACTTTACGTGAAATTATGTAATTTTTTTTTCCAACTAGTTCCCGTTGTTTTCTCTCTACCTGTACCAAGAAAGCAGAAGGAGTGTGATATACTTTGGCATTCTTAAGAGGTGCCCTAATTATTCATTAAGGAGCCTTAGTGCTTTTTCTGCCTTTCTTCCAGCCTTCTCCACCCTCAATAAATGAACCTCAGAACACAGGGAAGCAACTGCTTCTTGGTGAGCAAGGAACTGACTGAAGAGAATGTCCGTAAGGTAAACCCCACAGGAAGCAGGCTTCTTGCCAGCTTCTCACCGAGTGGTGTCAGAATTGTAATTACACACAGAGAAGGACAGTCAACGAGTCCAGACTTTAACAACCTTGTCTCAGAAAGCTAGATGCTTGAGCAGTTTCCCGAATCCCACAGCACAGCCCTAGAACAGGGACAAATATTCTGCTCTAGTGGTTGGCAAACTGTGTGCTCTGGTGCCAGCTTTTAAAATAAAGCTGTGTTGGGCCATGATCATGTGCATTCTGTGGGTGCGTTGGCATGCACAGACAGAGTTCAGTAGCTGTCACAAAGACTCTGCATGACTCTCAAATCTGAAATTACCTTCTGCCTGGCCCTCTACAGAAAAAGTTTGCTGACCCCTGTTCTAGTCCACAGGCCCTGGGTCCAGTCCAGGAT